CACCTCGGACTGACAGAATGTGAGTGATGGCCATAAAGCTAGCGTGAACTGAAATAACTGTTTATGGTTTCCTGAAACTGATTTTTTTAAAACACAAAACTAGGTTCTTGGGAATGAAAGAGACTTCAGAAACAAATAAATTTCACCCAATATTCTGAAATGGCTACTGAGTTCCTTAAGTACCTTCTTATAGACAATCCTATCAAGGGAACCCTAGGCCGCCCATCATGCTGCCTGCATTAGCTAGGGTATACATTGATCATTAGCAACAAGCCACACAGAGCAGAACAGAGGTGGAGGCATGGAGTCCCCGGACTTCGTTCCCCAGCCCCACAGAGCTGCACACACCACATCACCACGCACTGCGCCCTACCATCTCACCCTGGAGGGAAGGACGACTCGTCCATCTTCTCCCCAAAATACCTGGGCTAAGTTTCTCTCAGGGTGACAAGATCCGGTTAATTCCTGGAATCTGTCCAGACCAACTGTGTTTTGCCTTTAATTGTCAGAACAGCACTAGAAACTCAGAGAGAGACTTTTTGTCTATTGAGAAACTCAGGGACGGGGCTCTGAAAAAGTTCAGTCTCCAACTGTGGGTTGTAGACCTCCTTCCCTTACTTCTCTGGACATCACACTAACACTCACACGCACACACACGGAAGCACTGAGAGAGCCTGGGCTGGGGCGCCGATACACCTGTCAGGTCAGGCTGCTGCTTTCAGATCACTCACATGCTACTGGAAGAAGACACAAACTGAACCCATCAGCCTAGATCAGGATATGCTAAGAAAGACAGGCAGAGAGTGTCTACCCCAGACAGGGACGCCTGAGTCAGGGAACTTGTAATGTTGGCCCATAGAGTCCCGTTCTCACGATATCAGCACAAAAAAGTACAAGGTTAAGTGACTCAGCAAGTTGGCGGCAAAGCCATTGCTTGGTCTAGAAAGGCTGTCTTTCTTTCCCTTTCTCCCTCCCTCCTTTCCTTTCTTCCTTTCATTTTTTGAAAGACGGCCTTGCTTTATGTAGCCCTAGCTGGCTTGGAACTCACTATATAGGCCAGGCTGGCCTTGAACTCACAGAGATCCACCTGCTTCTGCCTCCCTCATGCAAGGATTAAATGTATGGGCCACCACTCAAAGCCACTAACATTTTTAAAACATTTATTTATTTCTGTGTGTGCATTTGTGCACATGCCAGGGCACTTATGTAGACATCAGAGAACAACTTTTGGTGCTTTCCTTCCCTCCCACGGGCCCATGAACTCCACCCACGACCTAAGGCCCGGCAGCAGGTACCTTCACCCTAGCTCCACAGTCAGGAAGACACTCCTTCCTTCCTTCCTTCCTTCCTCCCTCCTTCCCTCCCTCCCTCCCTTCTTCCTTCCCTCCCTCTTCCTTCCTTCCTTCACTGTTATAGGTACACCATACTTCCTTCTTCCTCTTTTTCTTTCCTGTATTTTTGTTTTGTTTTGAGACTCACTAGGCAGCTCAGTCTAAACCCTCCATCCTCCTGCCTCAGTTCATGAGTGCTAAGAGAAGTGACCAACTTCTGTAATTCACCATCTGGCTCTAGTCCAGTTTCCAACAGCAATCTCTTCCAATTTCAAAGTATTCTTCTTTGATAAGAAATTCTAGCCTGGAGGTGGTGGCAGCGCACGCCTTTGATCCCAGCACTTCGGGGGCAGAGGCAGGTGGATCCCTATGAGGCCAGGACGGTCAACAGAGTGACTTCTCGGACAGTCAAGGCTACATAGAAAAACCTCAAAAAAAAAAAAAAAAAAAAAAAAAAAAAAAACCAAACCAAAAGAGAAATTCTAGAAAGTGGGTGGAGAGATGGCTCAGTAGATTAGAGTCTGTTCTTCCAGAGGTCCTGAGTTCAATTCCCAGCAGCCACATGGTGGCTCACAACCATCTACACTGGAATCTGATGCCCTCTCCTGGCATGCAGGTATAATGCAGATAGAGCACTCACATTAAACAAACAAACAAATGCATTGTAAAAAAATTAAAAAGTATTAAAGAAATTGTAGAAAGTCTTTTTTTTTTCTTTTTTTAAAGATTTTATTTATTTATTTCACATCTGAGTGCTCTATCTGCATGCACACCTGGATGCCAGAAGAGGGCATCAGATTCCAGTGTAGATGGTTGTGAGCCACCATGTGGCTGCCAGGAATTGAACTCAGGACCTCTGGAAGAGCAGACAGTGCTCCTAACCTCTGAGCCATCTCTCCAGCTCCTAGAAAGTCTTTCAGTCACAAATAACCTTCTGTGCTCAACAGTCATCTCCCCATACCTTTTGATTCATGTTTCTTTCACCGCTAGGTAAACCCATCCTTGCTCTTCAAGCTGGTTTGTTCTGGTGATAGCTGTGACTCCCTTACCTCTGCACTGAGATGAAAAGCTCTGCACCACCTTTCTCCTGTAATTTACTCCTTCCCAATTTACTGCAAGTGTCCTCTACTTTCTCTATGGGCTCCATTCACTCAGTCCTAGGCACCAGATTAGACACTGATTACAAAGGCCAAATACATACCAACCAACCAAACAAACAAAAAACAAACCAACAAAGCCCCCAAACCAAACCAAACCCAGCAACAACCCTGCCCTCAAAGAGCTCATAGTCCATGATCTCATCCTGGGTCACTGTAAAACAACAAAGAAACACAATGAGAGATACACAGTGTCGAAGAGATTGCATGTACAAGTGCAGAGGCCTTTCTTTAGATGAGGATCCTAAATTTTACATTATAGGAGGGCAGAAGGAGGCAGAAAGAGGGAGACATATCTTCCAGGCAGAGCAGACAGCAGGAGTCAAGACACAGAAAGCCAAAGTCAGACCTGCTGATGCGCACCTGTAATTCCCAGCTATGGGAGGCAGAGGCAAAAACACTGCAAGTTCGAGGGCTGCCTGGGCTATTAGTATAAGGCCAAGGCCAGTCAGGGTCACAGTGAGCTTGTTTGGGGGCTGGGGATACAGTAAGTGGTAGAGTGCCTGTCTAGTGTGCAATCTCCAGAAACAAAACAGGACAAAACAAAAAGACACAGAACTCAAACACTATGCACATGTGATTTGGTGCTGTTGGGGGATGGAAGGTGAGGCTGGAGAGTCTTTCTAGAGATGGGATTACACAGTCCCACAAACACCAGCCCAGCTGGCTCTGACGGCCTTGAAGTCAATGTGGATCCAGGAGGGGGTTTGAAGCAGCAGGCCTCAACTGTGGCACCGGAGGTTTAAACATTCTATCTCACAATGGGTATATGGTGACAAGAGAGGCAGGGAGACCAGCTGGTAGGATTTTCAGTTCAAATGAAAAGATATGGGTACAGCAAGGTGAAGAGGCGAAGAGGGAATGAGAACGGGTGGGATTTGAAACTGGGATGATCTAGTAACAGAACATAGCAGTATGGGTGCAGTTTGTTACATGGTTGACTTCCGGAAGGGTGGCAGTGCCAGCCACAGGACAGAACAAGTAAAGTAGAGCATGGTACCCACCAAGTGTGAGCCAGGTCCTGTTGAAAATCCCGGGGAGAGAGCCTTATCAATGGAGGCTCGCTGACGACTTTTAACAAATAGATGGCTTTGGAGTGAAGTCAAGGGTTATATGGGAACTCAGTCCTTCACTCAACCTTGCTATGAACTTGAAACAGCTCTGAGAAGCCAAGCTGTGAAATAACAACCCCACACTCAAAGGCTCAGAGGTACTAAGCAGGGCTGCTGACACTGGAAGGACCAAGAAGATATGTCTAGAGAAATGAGGAGGCAGGAGGCTCAACGTTACATCTGGGCCATGACAGGAAGGAAGCTAAGACACAGGCCATCAATGAGTAACATATGGAAACTAGCTTCCAGCTTAGAGTGCTTCCATTGCCTGGTCTTCTTAGAGGAGGGAAAGGCTTGTGTGGCAGAGCAAGGGCATGAGCGGAAGCAAAGCACGGAGCCACAGGCACGCGCCCTTTGCTGCGAGCAGAGCACAAAGGCCAGTCAGCCCCAGCAAGCAGAGACATAAAGGCTCATGGTTCTGGAGGCTGGAAATGGGAGACTCATGTGTGAGCCTGCCTGATCAGAGCCTTTCTGCCACATCAGAGCACATAATAATGATGTGCTATGTTGTATGCTCCACAGAAGCTCCGCAGGTGGTGTGGGAAGTTGTGCTCATGGAAGTTCCTTGCTGTATGATGCTTTGCTGATGCTATGGTTTGAATGTGCCCCAAGAGTTCATGTGCTGGCAACTTGATTTCCCAGTTGATATATATGCTGATGGGTTTTGGAGGGAGAACTTTTAGGTGCAATCAGAACTAGGCAAGGTTGTGAAGGCAGACCCCCATGATGTATTAGAAAATGCCTTGCTAACATGTCTGCTTCTTTTAACCATCTTTTAAGATGGTTCTTTCCTTCTACTGTATGGGTTCTGGGGATCTGACTCAGGTCATCAGGCTTGGCTTCAAGCTGCTTAACAGTGAGCATCTTTACCTGCTGAGCCATCTTGGTGGCCCTCAGCATTTTATTCCCGATATCTAACATACTGTATGGAATAAGTACACACACTGTTGAATGGATCTTATTCTTACCTGCTAATGACAATCTCTCAGCTTTAACCATCATGCTTCTTTTTAACCTATTTATTTAAAAACTTTATAAATTATTTTTATGTGTATGGGTGCTTTGCTTGCATGTATGTTTTTACACTATATATGTAAGGCCAGAAAAGAGGGTTGGATTCCTTGGGGCTGGAGTTACAGATGACTGTGAGCCATGATGTAGGTGCTGGCAATCAAATTGATTTTATTTATTTATTTTTGAGACAGGGTCTCACTATGTAGCTTTGGCTAGACTGGCCATTTCTCTGTAGGTCAGTGTGGCCTAAACAGACAGAGACCTGATTGCTTTCACCCCCAGAGTGCTGGGATCAAAAGTTCCTGCCACCATGCCCAGCCATGTTTCTCCTTTTACCTTTCAAATATAAAAAGTGATCAAACTGTATACACACACAATGTACCCACCTTGGTGTAGTTCAATCTTCCTTTTTCTTGAGCCTAAAACAGAAAAGAAGAAAATAATTTGCTTCTTCTGTTTTTGTTTCTTGTTTCTTTTAACAATTATCTAGTGTTCTTCTTCTTAAAGAGCAAAATTCATGGGGCAGGAAAGCTGGCTCAGTGGTTAAGAGCATGTACTGTTCTTCCAGAATGCACAAGTTCAGTTCCCAGCATCCACGTCTGGTGGCCCACAATCACCTGTAACTGCAGTCCCAGCGGCAGCCTCTGGCCTCAGCAGCCACCGGCACTCGCGCACATATCTCCCCTCAAACACACAGTTAAAAATAATAAAAACATGAACAAAGAATAAAATTCGATTCTTTTTCTCCACGCCCCTCTTTTACTTAACATATATTGAACCATGTCTGAATTTATATAGCCAGTGATATCCATCTTTTTCTGCATATACACATATACGTACAGCTGAAGAGTTCTTTCAACTTTTGCTTGAAATGTGTACACACGCAGAAACATACATATACACATCACATGCATTTATACATGTGCATACAGCAGACACATACATAGAGGCACTTGAAAGTTGGGGAAAGAGATGAAAAGATATTGTATATATGATCAAATTTGTTTCAAATGTAAAAAATTAAATAAAAATTCAGAGTTTTCAGTCTGTTCTTGAAATTTTTATTTAAAAATTTATGTGTATGATGGTTTTGCCTGCATGACTGTCTGTGTACCACATGCACACCTGGTACCTAGCCATACGAGAATCTTGGATCCCCTGGGACTGGAGTTACGGATGATTTTGAGTCACCATGTGGGTGCTGGAAATCAAACCTGGGTTACTTGTTAGAACAGCCACTGCTCTTAACTGCTGAGCCATCTCCCCAGCCTACTGTTCCCGAGAGCTCTTTAAGGATCTAAGAATTCCAAAAGACTGAGGAGCTTGAATTTACTACTGAGACATGCCGTATCAATAGGAATACGGGTCTATTCTGGAAGATATTTAAAAACCAGGCTATTCTCTGCTCAGACACTTCATATGTACGTTTGTTCTTGGGAACCTTTTCTAAAATAAAATAATATCTGTGCTGAAAAGCTTTCTAAGCTGGGTAGTGGCATACACTTTCAATCCTGGTCTACATAGTGAGTTCAAGACAACCAGAGCTACATAGTAAGACCCTGTCTCACAAAAAGAAAAAAATAAATAAAAGATTGGGAGCTTGGAGACATGATGGCTCAGTGGCTGTTGTTCTAGAGGATCGGGGTTCAATTCTCAGCACCCATATGGCTCTGTAATTATTGTCTGTCATTTCAGTTCCAGGGGATCTGACACCCTCACAGACATACATGGAGGCAGGACACCAGTGTAAATATGATAAAAAAAGAAATTATTTAAAAAAAGGAAAAGAAAAAGAAAACCCCTGTGCCCCAAACTTCCACACGAGTGGTGGAAAGGCCTGGCCACCATTTGCTCTCGGGTTATACAAATATGCAGAGGTGGCCTCGAGCTTCTGAATGACTTCTGAATGGGTTGTCAAAATCTGAACAATAACACATTTGACCCACACTTGGTCCTTTTCTTTTTTGAGACAAGGTGTTGATATGTAGTCCAGGCTTGCCTTAAATTTGTGATCCCCCTGCCTCAACCTTAGGAGGTGATAATCCCTCTGTGCTAGGATTAGCAGCTATGTGCCATCACATCCACACCTAAGTACTTCAACTCCAAAATGTTACAATTACATCGATTAGCACCATGCCTGGCCCAGTGACTCCCGAGTTCATTTTAGACTGATGGACACTTTTCCATTGTCCATCCTGTCCTTGTGCTTGCTGACTGCTATGACTGCTCAGGCACACAAAGCACTTTTTTTCCCTTAAAGACAGTGTTTCATGCAGTTCAGGATGGCAGCTGAGGATGGCCTTTGACTCTTAACTCTGTTTTTTTTGTGTTTCAAGAGCTAGAATTATACGTATGTGCCACCAGGCATGACAGACATTTTCCAAATGATGCACAAACTGCACGATTTGTCCAGCATGTTCCTATTGTGAAAGCACCTCCCCCTAACCTTCCTCCCCCACCCCTGCCCACCTAACACCGGCCATTTCTTGCTTGCTTTCAGTATTCTCATTCTCACAGTTTAACAAGCTAGCTGTGTTCCAAGTGTTGAAGGGAGGAGGCTGAGGAACAAGGATCCTTGCCTTCGGATCGTAAGGCACACCATTACTGCATGCTTCATGGCAGAACTGGTTCCTTCAGACCTTGTTTATAAGCCAGTTAGTACAGAGACTTCCAGCACTGTGAAGCACTTGTGATGGACACATGCTGTTTTCAAACCTTGGACTCACGTTTTAATTTGTATCTCTAGTCTCCCCTTTCTCCACCTTTCACCCAGCAGAGATGTCTATGCTGGCCATAATTCTCTGAATGTAAAAGGAGCTTCTATAGCATAATGGCCCAATTTCTGCAGCCACAGAAACTGAGTAGACCACGACGACTGGTGTGTGACACACCCCAATGTCCCCTTTATTTTACTTATTTATTTTTCTGTTTTGTTTTGTTTTCTGTGTAGCCTGGGCTATCCTGGACTTGATTTGTAGATTGTAGCCTCAAACTCACATAGATCCACCTGCCTCTGCCACCCTGAGTGCTGAGAATACAAGTATGTGCCACCACACCTGGTTTTTTTCTTTTTTTAAGATTTATTTATTTTTATTATGTATAGAATGTTCTGTCTGCATGTGCACCTGCATGCCAGATAAAGACACCAGATATCATTATAGATGGTTGGGAGCCACCAATTGGGAATTGAACTCAGGACCTCTGAAAGAGTAGCCAGTGCTCTTAACCTGAGTCATCTCTCCAGCCCGTCATTTCACTTTTGTGTTATTGTTGTTGTTTTTGTTTTTTGATTTTCAAGACAGGGTTCCTCTGTGTGGCCTTGGCTGTCCTGGACTTGCTCTGTAGACCAGGCTGGCCTTGAGCTCACAGAGATTCACCTGCCTCTGCCTCCCTGAGTGCCATGTCCAGTTTTTTTTTTCTTTCGGTTTTTGAGACAGGGTTTCTCTGTGTAACAGCCCTGGCTGTCCTGGACTCATTTTGTAGACCAGGCTGGCCTCAAACTCACAGCGATCTGCCTGCCTCTGCCTCCCAAGTGCTGGGATTAAAGGTGTGCACCACCACCACCTCAGCAAACATTTTAGCTCTGTGAAACTGTTTCACCCTAGATTGGTTGGTGTGTCTGTAAAAGGATAATTTATTTCAGAAAACAAATTTAGTAAATATTTAAACACCGAGATGTAAATAATACATATTCTCTTTGCAGTTGATATACATCTGCACCTTATATACCAGTAGACGCTGACAGACATTTTTCATAAAAAGCTCTAGAATTTATATTCCTATAAGTTCTAGTAAAAGAAACAAAGAGCCCTATCTAGTCCTTGCTGTTGCACCAACGGTTCTCCAATCAGCCAGCAAACCTCAAGAAGCAACTGCTGCAAGCAAGGCTGAGCTTGGGCACAGCCATAAACAGAACAACGGGCTTCACAGAACTCTCCCTCCAGAACTCACGCTTTACAAGGGCGTGAGGAATGTTCTTTTCTTGTCAGTAGATGTGTGTGTGTGTGTGTGTGTGTGTGGTGTGCATGTGAACATGTGTGTGCACATGGCCATTCTGCACACACTGGAAGTTCGAGCACACGCAGGGCGGCTTCCTCTACTGCTCTCCATCTTCTTTATTATCCTGAATCAGGGCCTCTCACTCAGCCAGAGCTTTCCTTTTTGGCTGGATAAGCTGGACAGTGAGCTCTTGGGACCCACCCCTCTTTGCCCCTTAATGCTGGAGTATAGGTATATGCCAGGCTTTTTTATGTGGCTGCCTGGTATTTGAACTCAGGTCCTCAGAGCCTTATGCTTGCAGACCAAGTGCTCTTATCCACTGAGCCATCTTACTAGCTCCAAATAAGTCGTACCCGTATTGTCCAAAGTCAACAATTTCTTACAGGCAGAAAACAGGGAATCAGAACAACCTCGAAGGGTGTGTTGAAGTAGAACACACTTGAAGATGGGAGGGGATGCTCCAGCAGCACTAACCGGCAACTTCGAAGCCGGACTGCCGAGATGGCTCAGTGGGTAGGGCACTTGGTGTCAAGCCTGAAGACTTGATTCCCAAGATCCATGTGACCAAGAGAGCTGACTCCTACACGTTGTCCTTTGACTTCCATGTGTGTGCTATGATGACGCATGCACAGCACGCGCGCGCACACTGCTCGCGGACGTAAGAATAAAGAGCGCTTCCCTTTTGAAGGCAGCACGTCGAGGAAGTCTAGAGAAGGGCCAGAGAGATGGCACAGCGAGGGAGGCTGCCTGCCGCCAGTCCTGGTTCAGTCTCCAGAAGCCACATGACGAAGGCAGGAAAGTTACTCCCGAGAATCAGCGAGAATCAACACAGAAGACTGGGGCTGGCAATGCGGCCCGCTGAGGAGATGCTTGTCTGTCACCAGGCCTGGAGACCAGAGTCTGCTCCCTGGAACCACACGGTGGAGAGAGAGAACAGCTCCCTCAAGTTGTCTCCTGACTTCCACATGAGCATACATACAAAACCAACAGACAGACAAGGGCGAAGAGGCTCGCATGGAGTACGGTGACCACAGAGACTTCAACATGCGCTCACCGCCTCACAGGGGAGGCACTGTTTCCCGAGGACAGGAAGTGCTCTAAGATCTCAACTGCGATCACTCCAGACGAGCTGTGACCTCTCTGGAAGATGGGCATGTTGGGAAACAGAAAATATGGCTTCTAGGCCTTGACTGGATATAAAACAATTTAGAATTGCTTTAAAAATATAGGCTTGTATTTTTGTTTCTTTGTTTATGAACAACACTGGACCAGGGGGGCGATATGGCTCAGTGGGTAAAGGAGCTTCCTGCCAAGCCTGATGATGACCTCAATTCAATTCCTGGAATGGTGGTTCGAGTTGCTCCATCTCAACTTGTTCTCTGACCTACACATGCATTCCCCCAGTGAAACCACACACACA